GTCTTATTCTTCCTCTGCTTGTTTACAGGCACTGATTTCTTCTTGATGCCTGTAAATTTTGTTTTGTGTCAAAAGGATGAAAAGCAAGTGCCCAGGGAAAATTAGAGAAGTAGAGAACTAGGTGATGGACTATAGGATATGAAATAAGATCAGCCAAACATTGTTTCAATTGGCAGTTAAATACAAATGTTTACCTGGAAAGTCACCCTTAGAAACTAGACAAGCCTAGTAATCTCCTAAGGTACTGAGGAGTATGTTGAGAGGTTCATAAGAGACACATGTTAGGGAATATTTTGAACTTTAGGGTCCTTAGCCTCGGGACCCAACGATATACTAAAAATTAGTAGAACCAAAGTAGGAATGCTTCCTTGGGAGGAGGGTGTACTTGGGAATTCTTCCAAAACCACTGATAGCATCTCCCATTTGGTACTCACTGACTCAGAAATTGATTGGCTCTTTAAAACATTTCAGCTGGTTGACATCAACTTAGTAGCTTGAAATTGGCTATGGTGGGAGTATTTACACCACAGAAATTGGCAAGTGCTACAAATCAGGACTTCATCATTCTTTAGAGCCAATTGTTGAACATTTATCAGCACATCAAAGAGCTAAAATTGTTTCTCAGTCTCACAGAAGGGAAATTAAAGGAGCCCTTTACTATCTGGGATGATTAAAGGCTCTGCATGTGCACAGCTATGGAAGGCCAAAACTTCTTTAGGATGGGGACACCTTAGTCAATAGGGGTTGGCACAGGCAACCAGTGCCAACTGACCTCTCATATACCCAGTTGGTCTTAAGAATTTTAGCTTCTTGAATTTCTTTTTAAAAAATATTGGTTTCATTTTAACATGGGGACATTTGTATTTGGGGTATTACCTGGAGGTTGAGAAATAAGACCCCTTTAGTAACATTTTAAGCTCTGGGAATGATATCCAAGTAGAATCTGAATGATTAATTTAACTTCCCTGCTTCTCTATCTATTTGTAAAGATAAGTTACCTGAGATCTGCTTCTTCGTTTGAAATATAAAGAGCTGGACTAGGGGTAAAGTATACTAAAGCTATGTCTCCCCACTCTATCTTCAGGCTTGCATCCATTCTGACAAATTAGCCAGTTAATATTTGTTACAAATTGGTGACTGGTCACTTCAGCCATAACAGTTGAATGATTGAGTCAGTAAGACTATATCTGTGTTGCCATGTATCCTGATAACTTCAAGGAGCAGATCTGCTACTTGCATAAGGAGTGGTAAGCTTTCAGCTACTTTGGTGATAATGATATGTATGACTTTGCTATATATTGTTCGTTCCCAAATGATGGCCACCCCAGAATCACCTGGGATTTGTAAGCTGGGTTTATCCCAGGACATAGAGTCAAAAGTGTAGGGAGCAAGAACCATACATTAAAGAGCTTCTCATGTCATGCAACTTTGTTTGCTGGTGGATCAGCAGTATAATCCAGGTCCTAACCCTATAACCCATTGTGGTCTTAAATTGCAGTCAATTATTCTATGACAGGCTCTTTACTGTGATTCCACTGTAATTAACAAGAGAATGAGCATCATTACAGATTAAAACATCTATTCAAACACATATATCTTCAATAATTCATTACAATAAAAAGACATTTTAAGAAATACTGCATAATACAATAACAATGTTCTAAAATTTGCTGTGGTAAAGCAGAGTGTGAAAGAGGCATATTTAGTCATTTTGGTCCTTGGTGTCCACTGACCTGTAGCCTTGATTAATTGGGCCACAGATCCAAGACAGGTCAATCAGGTGGCCCTGGGGGACTCTAGGTCCCCAATACTTAGATACTCCATCGGGGTTTTCCAGCCACACACTCATAGCCCCAACTCTCTTTAAAATAAAAAGAACAGTTCTGCACATTCAGGGAGAAATAGAGGCCAAACAGATATGTTTGCCTGGCACATTCACAAATTAGGGGAAAAAAGATTTAGAGATCTAGAACTATACAGAAAACTGCTCATTCTGTCATTTTTCACATGAAGACCCAGCCCAAATTATTCATTATTATTTGCACATCTTAGCATATTGAACTAAATGTAGTAATACAAAGCCTGCTGTTGAAATTGCTCACAACATGGAAGGCATTGACAAAGGTATTTCTTACCTCAAGGGGTCTGAGCTGAGAATATACGTATGGAGAAATACATTCTCAGTATTCAACTTTCAAATTATGCATACATATCACTAAAACAAGATTTTATTAAGATGAATAGATTATTGAAGATTCCAGCTGTCAACTGTGACCCATCAGTAACTGAACTGTGATTTATCAGAATCATAATTTACCAAAAAGGTTTCCTCTCATTTTAGGCATAATGTTATGTTATTATCAGTAGACTTTGTATAGCTAAGTAAGAATCCCCGTTATTGTTTTGCATTGAGAAATAAATAATTTGGGGTATCTTTTTTCTCCTTTACAGCTTTTGTAACTTATTTTCTGTGCCTTGTGAACCCCAGACCAAAATCACTTTCCCTTTGAGCCCATCTTCATTGGATGCTGATAAGGCCAAGAAATATTAGATGAGGAGGTATAATTGCTTCACTGATTATCTATGCAATCTTGGGAAAATCACTTAGCTTCTCTGATTCTCCATTTCTTATTTGTAACATCAAGAATTAGGACTAAAGATGCTCAAAGGCTCTTCCAGTTTCAGTGTCCTAGGGTTCTACAATTCTGTTCCTGCTTCCTTGGGCCTCAGGTCAACATCTCTTTGCTGTGTAAGAGTGTTTAATAATTAGTACCTTGCCCAAAGTCAGAAGAAATGCTCTTCCATTCCTTGGCTTCCCCACCAAATAGGTTAGTCCTGGCATTCACATTCATGGATAACTGGAGGCTCAGGCACAAGGAGGCTGAGGCAGCCTCTCCCTTTGCACATTCTGGCTGGTAGCCCCATGGTCAGGTGCCTGATATCAAAGTCACAGACAGATGGCACAGTGGTCACAGTCAGCACTGCTAGGCACATGATACTACTAAACACAAATACTTTTACAAAGGGTAAGTACATTTAAGACACAGAAGCAAAGGAAGAGGAACCATAGGTGTTTAATTATCAGATATGAAAAAGATTTTCTGGGTGTGGGAGGCATTCTTGATATCACATTTTATATCTGTCTCCCTTGGAACTACATGTCTGTGCATGACATTCAGAACAACCATGAAAACTTAAGGGACTAGCATTAAGCAGGTTGCTAAATGTTCGTGGGGCTTTCTTACCTCTGCAACTGAATTGGTCATTTGTACTGGTATCATGTGTTGGGGGTTTTATGGTGAAATTTACTCCAGTTGTTGAGGGTGGACTCTGCTGTGAATATCAGTAAAGAAGAAAGATTCTGTCAAAAGGATGCATTTAACCTAGAACCAATAAAGCAAGGGCAATGGAAAAGCCAGGGGTTTGTATCTGTAGCTGAATCATGAGGGGGGACCCAACTGATCCAGCTACAGGTCCTGCCTTCCCAGTTCACTGCTCTTGACCACACAGGAAGTTCTGGTTACTGGCACCTCTGCCTTTCATATCAGGACTTATGGGATTCACCAACTCTTTTGGTCATGACAGTGGTTATATAGGTTTAATATTTGGAACAGTCTTTAAAAACAGAAAGAGATTTTGTATAATGAGCTAGAGGCTGTTTTTCTCTATGCTGGAACTGTAGGTCAAGGGCATAACTAACAATAAAAATAACTGTAAAAACTGCCATATATTGAGTGCTTACTACAAGCTGAAAACTGGGATAAATGCTTTACCTACATATTGCATCTAATTTTTTCAATAGGAGGAAAGTAGGCTGTATGTAAAATTCATAATTTATAAGAATGGTGGTTAACTACTGTGGGAGGGCTTAGGATTTTCTTCAGAGATTTTTAAAGAAAGGGGAAGAGTTATCTTTTTGGCTTAGGAAGTCCTTCCTAGAAACAGGATATAAGCCTGGTCTCTAAGCCCTTCTAGTTCTGGGGCACAAGTCTATTCAACATTTTGAGTTCTTGTGAAAGTGAAAGATGAAATGATGTTGGGAGATGGAAAAGTTCTCCCACTCTAGATTAAGATGGAGCCAAGAGTGAAATGAGATTTTAAAAAACCCAACAAACACTTGGCTTTATGATGAGATTTAATTTAAATGTTCCACCATAGATCGCTTAACTCAGCAGTTCTCAACCTGTGGGTCGCGACCCCTTCGGCGGTCGAATGACCCTTTCACAGGGGTCGCCTAAGACCATCCTGCATATCAGATATTTACATCATGATTCATAACAGTAGCAACATTACATTTATGAAGTAGCAATGAAAATAATTTTATGGTTGGGTCACAACATGAGGAACTGTATTTAAAGGGCCAAAAGGTTGAGAACCACTGACTTAACTAGTTTTAGGGATTCTGGTTCTTTGTTTTTTTTAACTTGTCTGGTTCAAAGTGTCTACATATTTGTATTTAGTGAATTTTAATGGGCACGTTGGGATTAAAACTCTAGTCTCGAGTCAAAATCTGGCCTGTGCAGTGTTGGCATTAATATCACTTAGCTGTAACCTAATGAACTAAGTGCTTAGGAAGAGCCAACTAAACATTTTGTCAGTTATCAATCTTGCAGTGATCCTGACAGAGCCCAGCATGAGAACTGTAATAGCATCCTCTTTAGAGTGACAGGGAACAAGCATGGTTTTGCTAGGTATCAAATTATACCATTGAATTTAGAAATTTAAAATTTAGAAATTTTAATTATTTCAAATATCAATCTGTTCTAGTGTTTTCCATTTTGAAATATCTATTCCTATTTCTCCCCATCTATTTGGATGATTGCCATCAATCAGTGTTGTAAGATGTCACAATTGGCAACATATTTGAACCTGTATGGTTTTTCTTTCATTAGTTAATATCTGGGTCTATGCAGGGTTCCCTGATTAGCTTTTTTAAAAAAAATTGGAATAAGACAGCTCCCATTCAGAACCAGGCAGACCATGAGCATAAGGACTATGTCTTTCCATATTGTATTTGGTTTAATTTTAGGCATGATTATACTTTTCCCAAAGGGGCGGGGGTAGTGAGCTGATCGATTACTGAACTACAGCAATTCTTTTCAACAGTATTTGTAACATTGCAAAAAATCTAAATGAGATTTCTGGAAAAGAACAAGCTACCCCACCCAAATGTATTATAAATATGCTTGACTGGCATTTGGAAAGAAGAAAAAAATTCTTATTAAAATTTAACATCAACTTGGCCAGACTTTGGGCTGAATTGAAAGAACAAAATGCTGCCCAGTGAAAAGCCATGGATGGAAGTGATATGATTTCTACTTCTAAGGCTGAAATAATGAAAAAGAGAATGGCCCACTAATTTCTTCATGGCAAGTCTGCACATCTCAAATTACAAGAGTTATTTAGTACCAGATTTTGCCACTGCACAGTGGCTTTTCATTTTGAAATACTAAATCTGTAGATGTATAGATCTGATTTCAGTGGGAAGGGGGAATATCCAGTGTCTACAATTGTTTTGAAGAGAGAAAATGATTCTGGAGCAGTGCTGGTGGACACAATGATAGTGAAGTTGATCTCACCTGAGCACTATTCAAATGGGGGCCTGGCCAACCTTGAAGCTTCTACTTTACTCAAATCTTGCTGGTTCTCAAAGGCTCTGAATGGGCAACATGGTTACAACACTTTAAGGTATACGGGGTCCATGAAAACTTCTAAGCATTCTTCTTTCTCTATGTCCCAGACTCTTAAGTTGACTCATTGCTTCTATATTCTGAGATTATTCCCAGCCCAGTGCTTGAATTGGGATTGTGAGAGGCACTAAACCCAGGCTGGAATGCCCTTGCAGATGTGGCAACAGAATGATTTGCCATAATAGCACTCATGACAAGTGGCCATGCCACCCAAGACATAGGCTTTCTCTGTAATAGTAAAAGATGCACTGCATTATATGACACTTGCCACAGATGGACCACTCTGCTGTAGAAAGACTGTCTCGATAGTGAGAACTTCATAAGAGGCATTTCTTATCAAAGTAATCATAACGAGATCCATCATGATTTGCTCAGTTTGTCATGAAACATCAAAGTTACCCAGAGCCTTGAACACATCAAATACAGATGCAGCATATGCAAGCAAAACCAATTCACTATGATTCCTAGCAAATTATTACACTCCATGGCAGTGGGGAAAAGGAGAGGCATAGAGATAAAGGGAGAGAGGGAAAGAGATATGCATAACAATTTTTTATGTTTCCATTTTGAAGAGTCCGATCCCACGCAGGAAAAAATGAAATCCTGCCCAAGTTGACCAGAGGCCTCTCATTATGAGCACTAAATCTTGAGCAAAGCTGCAGAAACTCCAGCTCCAGTCCTCATAAAAATGGGAGGCAGTTTATTATTAAAATACAAATAGGAAAATACGTCAAACCATTTGTTAGCAGCATGGTTCCAAATGCAACATTCCATTTATCATTCAAGTTTTAATCATGTGGCTTCAATGCATCTGTCCTGCTAAGACCCATAGGAGAGCAGTGCAACAGAGGGAGAGGAGACATTGTTCCTTTTAAATGGCAGACAGTCCTTATAAGAAATTCTCTAGGGTTCTATTCTGATGACTATTCAATTTGATTTGGGGCACTTTTTAAACCACCATTTGGCACTTTCTGTTTGGAGTTCTTAGGCACAGTGTGACAGAGTCAGCTTGGTGAGCCCTTCCCCATGCATTCGGTACAGCAGCTGAAACTCAGCAGGCAGCTGGTGGGACTCCTGCCACTTGGTGGTAAATTTGGTTCCTTTTTTGTCATAGTAATGGTATGGAAGATCTTCCCTGGTGTTGGGGTCAAATCCAAAAGGCCAAAATCCATACAAGTGGATCTCTTCACATATTGCTGATGCAAGGGTGTACATAAGAATACCTGTGCTCAGCCGTTTGGGCGACAAATGTTTGTTTTTCCAGTACCTGTGGAACAATAAGTATAGGTGGATTCAGTGGCCAGTGTTGAAAGTTTCGGTCAGAGGTCATTTGACTGGGTTGGGAGGTCAGTTTGTCCAAGCAACTTTGACAGACTTGCTTTGAACCTATCTTTTAGACCACAAAACACCTCTGTGTAGGACTAGCTGCATAATCTGTGAGACTAGGAGCAAAATGAAAATGTAGGTCCTCATTGTAAAATGTATTGAGAATTTCAAGAGTGCAGTAGCAGATTATTAAACCAGGTGCTGGGCCCTTCTAAAAACGGGCTTCTGTGTGAACCACAAGGCTGCACATGTTGGTAGCCCACCCTGCCTCTGGGTTGGCCTAGACCGTGATGGCGAACCTTTTGAGCTCGGCGTGTCAGCATTTTGAAAAACTCTAACTTAACTCTGGTGCCGTGTCACATATAGAAATTTTTTGATATTTGCAACCATAGTAAAACAAAGATGTATATTTTTGATATTTATTTTATATATTTAAATGCCATTTAACAAAGAAAAATCAACCAAAAAAAATGAGTTCGTGTGTCACCTCTGACACGCGTGTCATAGGTTCACCATCACTATCCTAGTGGGTGGGGCG